TGGGGGGCCGGGGCAGAGGGATGGGGCTGATCCAGCCAGGCCCCCCCCTCCCTGACACCCGTGGGAGGTTACACCCTTCCCCGGGGGACCCCCAAACCCAGCCCCGTGGGCAGAGCCCGGCCCCGCTCCCACGCTCCGGCCCGGCCGAGCTTCCAGCGCTGTCACCCCCAGCCACCCCAGCTTGGCCACGGCCCCGAAGCCAGGCCCCCCGGGACTCATCTTGCCCCCCCCCGCCCCAGCTAGTTCTCCATGGGGGTGGCTTTTGGAATCCCGGGACAGGGGATGGGGGGCAGCTCCCAGGCCCCCACCCCTGGCCTGTCCCGCAGGCGCCTGCAAGTGCATCCAACCCCTGGCTACTGCCCTGAGAAGAAATAGTCCAAGTTGGTGACGTGGAGACCCCCGGGGGCCGGGGGGGCAGGGGATGAGAGCAGGGGGGTGTCACTGAGCGGGGGACTGGGGGGGCTCAGGGGCACCAACACGTGCTGCCCCTCGCCCTCCGGCTTGGCACTGCGCTGCCCGCCCGTCTGCCACGTCCGTCTGTACCTGGGGGGGGGAAGAATGAGTCCCGGGTCAGGGGTGGGCAGGTTGAGCCCCCCCCTCCCCGCTGTCGTCCCCACCCCGGGCACTCACCTCACCACGATGCCCACAAAGAGGGCAATGCCCAGGAGCAGGCTCCCCCCGGCCACCAGGAAGGGGTAGGGGGACGCCGTGGAGCGGGCGCTGGCTTCCACGACGGCCCCTGTGGCAGAGAGAGGGGACAGGTTTTGTGGGGATGAGGGACATGGGGGTCCCAGTGCCCCCCCCCCCAGCAAACCCAGGGACCCCTCCTTACCACCAGCACCATCAGCAGCATCTCTGAAGAGCTCAGGGGGCAGCGTCACCCAGGAGGTGCCATCCTCCATGGGGAACTGCAAGAGAATGTGGGGGTGCAATGGGACAGGGCAGCCCCCCCACCCCGGTGTCCCCTTGTCCTACACGGGGACAGGAGACCCAGCTGGGAGCACGCCATGTCCCCCTGCCCTCCCCCAGCCGTGCCCCACCTGTGAGCTGAAGGGTCCCATTTCAGAGGTGAGGTCCCTGGGGTCTGCAAGGTGAGGGGGGAGCGTAAGGCTGGGGGACCCCGGGCTGAGTCCCCAGCCACGGGGCCACGTGTCACCCCCCTCACCTGTCCAGGGGGTGCCCACTGCCTCCCGGCTCCACTCGCTCCACGTGCCGTGGCCGAACTCCTCCTGCGCCCGCACTTGCACCACGTGCCGCGTCCCCCGCCACGCGTCACGGATGTCCAGCCACGTCGTCATCACCTGGTCCACCTGGAGGGGACAGGGGCAGTGTAGGCTCGGGGACAGCGTTGCTGGGGCTGGGGGACAGCCCCACACTGGGGAAAGGGGCCAGGGCGGCTCTCACCTCCGTGAAGGTCTGGGCGGGCTCAGGGCGGTAGCGGACCTGGAAGCGGAGCCAGTAGAAGCGGGGGTCCCAGGAGGAGGGGTAGGACCAGTTGACCCGCAGCCGCTGCGGCGCCTTTTCCAGCGCCTCCACGGTCACGTTGAGGGGGGGGTCAGGCTTCACTGCCAGGGAAGGTGGGGGGTCAGGGCCTGGCAGGGTGCCCCACGGCCAGTCCCAGCCCCTGGCAAGAAGGGAGCAGGCACTCACGGACGCTGCTGAGGGTGATGATCCTGTCCTCGCCGGCCGAGCCACCGGCAGCGTTGCTGACGCAGGTGGACACCACGAGGGGTTTGGTGTCGTCGGCGCCGGGCGGCACCTTCACCCGGCAAACAAACTTCCGCGCCTTGGAGAAGTAGCGGCACCGCTGCTCCGTGGCGTTCTCCGCCGAGAACCTGCGGGGACACGGCTCACCCGGGGCTGTGGCACACACCGGGCACGGGGCGAGGGTCCGCGGGGGCGGGGGAGGGAGGGGATGGTCCCCTGCGCCCCGTGCCATGGGGTCCCAGCCCCAGGCAGGTGCCGGAACGGCACTCACCTCCGCTTCACCCAGAGCGTGGCCCGCGTCCCCGGGGACGGCTTCACCCGCTGTGGCCACTCGCACAGGACATCTTTGTCATGGCTCCGGCGGTAGCAGGAGACGTGGGGAGTTTCGGGGGGCTCTGCAAGGCAGGGAGGCGCTGGGGGATGGGGGACACCAGACCGGGCGATGCCATGAGGTGAGCCCCCAGCTCCAGCACGGACCCACCTTCCACCAGCAGCCGCAGGGAGCGCAGGGGGCGGCCCCCCACGGAGCAGCTGTAGCGCCCCGAGTCCTCGTAGCGCAGCCGCTGCAGGTGCAGCGTGTTGCCCTCCGCCAGCTGCCGGCTGCGGCCCCCCACCGCCACCGCCCCCCGCTCCTCCACCCGCCAGGACACGGTGACGTTCGCCGGCCCCTCGTCCCAGCAGGTCAACATGACGTTGGCTCCCAGGCGTCCCAGCACCGCGTCCCGCGGGAGCCCTGAGGGGGGGCGAAAGGGGGGCTCAGGCCATGGAGACGAATCCCTAAGGGTGTCCTCAGAGGAGGGAGACAACCCACCATCTGCTCCCCCTTGCCTCAGTGTCAATATTTGCAGGAGGCACCGAGCCGGAGCAAGAGGCAGCTCCTGCTGAGCCAGCGATTCCCCACCGAGCTGGGCACTGGCCCCCCCTGGCACACAGCTCCCCCCCGGCACTGCCACTGGGACGGCCACCGCGGCACCTGGGCAGGGTGCAAGGGGGGTCTGGCGGTGGGACACGGCCGGGCGGTGCAGGGATGGCAATTTGGGAGCAGGGCTCTGGGAGAGCTGCAGGCTGGGGGTCCCAGGGGGTGCCAGGGGGTTCGAGGGTCCCAGCGCCGGAGGGGTTAAGTGGCCGGGCTGGCCGGTGGCACTGGTCCAGGCTGGTCCGGGGCCAGGGAGGCCGCCCGGGGCAGCTCTCCCGGCTCAGGCTGCAAAGGTCAGCGGCCAGTCCGGACCTGCAGCTCCCGGACCTGCTCCTGCTGCTGGGAATGCACCCAGTACACAACACCCAGTACCCAGCAGGCAATAACCAGTACCCAGAAACCACCCAGTACGAAATAACCAGTACCCAGAACCCACCCAGTACACAACACCCAGTACCCAGAACCCACCCAGTATGCAATAACCAGTACCCAGTACAAAATGTCCAGTTGCCAGCACCTAATACCCAGTACTTAGCACCCAGTACCCACCCAGCACCCAGTACAAAATATCCTGTACCCGGCACCCACCCAGTGCCCCGTCCCTAACACCCAGTACCCCATGACCAATACCCAGTACCCAACACCCAGTACCCAATACCCAGTCCCCAGTCCCAGCACCCAGTCCCCACCCGGGGTGCCCCGTACCCCCACCCTGCCGGTGCCCCCGGGGGCGGGCTGGGAACCGTCCGTCCGTCCGTCCTCCCCCTCGAGGGGCCCCGGTACCGGCAAAGGCGCCGGACTCGGGACACCCTCCGTCCCCCCCCCCGCGCCGCTCTGTGG